CAGTCAACTGTGTGGGATCCAATCTCCTTGACCCTTGTACCATCTGTTGACCCTTCCTGACAGATACTCTTTGGAAAAAGAGAGTAACTTGTTAGAGTCCCCAGGCACACCTTCGGCTCTGCAGAATGTTCCAACACAGCAGAGGGAATAAAGACATTCTTACCTACACTTGGGCACAGATGTGTTTATCTATAAAGAACCTTTCTTCAATTAAAGGAAGGTAACTAAGATCACAACAGCGCCATCTTCCTGTGCAGAATTACCTACAAACCTGTGTGTATCACATCGTTAAGGGTAAAATTAATACAGCTTTTCTTCAAGTTAAAGAGAAAAATCAAGCTGGGTATAATTGCTATGAATGTTAAAGAGATCCAACTATTGGGGCCAGCAGTTAGTGTAATGGCTATGTCGCTGGACTCCCATGTAGTCGACCGCGGTTCGAGTCCCGGACCCGGTGACTTAAACTCACGCCGGGCGCGTGTGCGTGCGTGCCCACGATCCCGAGAGGAGAATGGAGGAGAAGGGATTGCGGTGTGGCCATCCTCGCTGGGGGGTGATTTCTCACTTTCTGTCTCTCTGTCTCTCTCTGTCTTTCTGGTGAGCGCATGCACCCTATAGCAAAAACCTCTCTTAAAAAATTAAGTTAAAAATATAAAAAAGCAAGCTGCATGAGGCTATTCACTCCGGGAGGGGTGTGTGCAGCCCATTCCGCACCAGCCTACCCCTCTGGTTCAGGCTTTCCTACCAAGCAGCTGGGGTCCCGTAGCAGGGGTAGCCAGGTCACGTGGAGAGAACTTCAATGTCTTCTTTGAGAAGACTTTTTCTATAGATGTTGGCACCGTGGGCTGGGCGTGAGGGCTGGGGGGAAGCAACGCAGGGCAGGCAGGGTTACTCCTCTTTTATCTTACCCTGTTCTGGTTCTCGTAAATCCTCTGCTTTCTAAATGGGATTAAGGTTCTGTGCCAGGATTTTAGATCTATTTCTAGAGCAGACAGATTGCCCCTGCCCCCGCGGGCCAGTTAGCAAATGGTCTGGAGGGGCCACCGTGTTCTGTTTTGTTTGAGAGATTTTTGCTCTAGGGCATGTGTGCTCACCAGAGAGATGCAAAGCAAGAATTCGCACACGCTCACACCCAGGGGGGATGGCCACGCTGCAGTCCCTTCTCCTCCATTCTCCTCTGGGGATCTTGGGCATGCACGCACACGCCTGGCATGAGTTTAAAGCCGCCGGGTCTGGGACTTGAACTGCAGTCGGCCATGTGGGAGTACAGTGACATAATTACACCATCTGCTGGTCCCAGGGAACACTGTGTTTTCAACTTTGTGGCTCATTGGTTTCTGTTTCCCCCTTGATCTTTCTTTCTTTTCTTTTTTCTTTTTTAAGAATTATTTATTTATTTATTTACTTATTTTAATTTGACCAG